GTTCCTTGAACAACCTACGGAGTGCATCTCCTCCTGCGGATCTCCTCCTGTGAGGTTTTGGGGTCCGGATGGGGATGGGGATGGGCAGCATCACCCTCGGCCCAGCTCCGACCCCGAGCTCCGCCAGCGACCTCCTTTGAACTGCTAATCAGAGCCAATCTTGCCGAATAATAGCCTGCTTATTATTGCCTCGTTTGCATAACAAAGAGGCCCAATAAAACTGATTTGACTGTGCTCAGAGGGGGTGTGAAAGATCAGCTCTGAGAAAAGAGCTGCAGGAATGCAGCAAACTGCTCCAAAGCCTCAACCCAGGAAGAAAGACAATGCAATTTGCCATCAAGAAAAGCCCAATAGACCAATAAATTACCCATGTGCAAAGGGATTAGATCAGGTTTCAGTTGCGCTGAAGTGGGGGGAGGAGGACCGGGAGGAGGGAACTGCAGGAGAAAAATAAACCTGGCTCTTAAAACGGCTGCAGCTCATATTTTGCAAGGGCGTGCATGGGGAGGTTGGCTCAGCTGAGGCACCTTCGGCGCTGCAGCCTGCATTTCGTGCTCTCTTCCAGAGGCCAAGGCAGCAGTAAATGCATTAAAAGCATTAAACGCACAGATGCAACAAAGGATGTGCTGAGAACTGAGTTGAGTCTGCAGCATTTTTTAGCCCAGCGGTTGTGTTGCTTAAAAGGATGCTGGGGAAGGGCTCCATTCGGTTTGTTTGTGCTAAAAAGAACACAGAAGTTTTCCCCTCTCAAGCACTATAGCATCTGGAGGACCTGCCACAGCCAACTCCCCGTTGTCCTCAGCACCGAGTTCATGGCCCCCATCCCTCTTCTCCCAGCATCACAGGCACGGGGCAAGCACAGGCAGGAAAACAGCAGCGTCAGTGCCTTCCCTGGCCACGAACTGCCAGATGCTGTGGAAGAAGCCCACGACTGTTCCTGTCACAATCGGCCCTTCTGGCTCCGGGTCACCGCACTGCGGCACACTTAGCGGGGCTGAGCGCATCTCCTCCCAGTGCCCAAATGGGAGAGCTGACATCAGCACAGAAGCAGCAGCCCCGTGCTTTGGAGCTTGTTGTGATGCTGCTTCGACGGGACCCAGCAAATCTGGAGACATTCAAGATGGACCGGAAAGGAGGAATGAGGATTCACGGCCGGAGCAGCAAGTTGCAGGTTGGCCCATTTTGCTCTTCGGCTTCACTGTGGGACTCAAACTTCAGCAGTGCCTTTACTGCTTGGGTTAAAGCAGCAGCCTGGAGCTGTGCTGCTGCTGGAGGGTTGCTGAGTTTTGCTTCACAGATGCAGATGGAGAGTTGGTGGACAGAGGAAGACAAGCGAGGGAAGCAAGCTCCTTTGATTCTTCATCTGCAGAAGGGCACTAACAAAGCGGCTCCCCGCCACGTCACACCACGGGTTTTCCTGGCTGCTCTCCCAACACCAACAACATCCGTGTGAACCACCTTGGAGGCGTGCTCCATTTTACAGATAAGAACACAGGGCCAGGCAGGGATTCACCCAAGGTGAGCCTAGTGGAAAACAAGGCGGTTTTCCTCCCTCAACCCCTATACGAAACGTCACCCCCAGCTTCTCCAACAGCACCCGTCCCTAAAGCAGCGACACGGGTGCCCTCGGCCACCTCCTCCAGCCACCAGCCCCAGCCACCCCAGGCCTGGCAGCCCCACAGACATCTGCTTTGGATTTCCATTGCGCTCCGTGCACCCGAGCTGTTTTCCCAGGGTGCCTTTGAAGGCACAGCTGCCACCCACCAGCGCCCGCGGGCCCCCCAGGTGTGGCAGCGGGTCCTTCACCCTCCTCCTCCTTGCCCGGGCCGCAGCAGGGCTGGCAGGGAAGCACTCAATGCTTACAGGTGTGGATTCCCTCTAGGAATAATCATCCCCGCTGTGCTCTTGTGAAATTTCAACCCTTCAAACGCAGAGGTAAATGAGACACAAAATGAGGAGATGGAGAAAAGCCCGGAGCACATAAATCTGGATGAGGCAAATTTATACAATTAAATGCCTGCCAAAAAAATTGCGGCATCTCCATCGGAGGCGTTGGTTTGAGCGCAGGGCGGGGGGTGGTGGCACAGCACCCAACCCAAAACCTAGGTGGGCACCCAAGAAATGCTGGGGTCACAGCTGGGGAAACACAGGGACCAAACAGCCCATGAGGTAAAAAGTAACAGAAAACCACCCAGCTTTGCCCACCCATCCTTGTGCTCAGCCGTGCCCACGGCTGCAAAGCCCAGGGCCAGAACCTCTCAGCATGCAAACTGCTCAGGATGCTCACGCAGTGCACAGCAGGACTCAGCACCCTGCACATCTTGCTGTTCTCGTATCCGCAGGGACTGCAGCCCCGCACACCACGGCCGGGACGTTGCACAGAACTGCTCAGTTGTAGGAGCCAGCTTGTTCTCCGCAGTCAGAGCCCTATGACTTCATCAAGGGGATGGCATCTGGTTTTGCAGTTGGACATAATTCAATTCTCCCCCTCGCTGCAGGAATTTCAGCTGGTGAAGCAGTGATTTACTCAGCCAGGCTGCACTTGAGTGCAAAGCAATCTCGAGGCTACAATCGAACGCTCTGTTATTTTGAGAGCTGACGGACAAGACGAGGGAATAAATATCCCAGTGATGGGAGCTCTTCTTTTAATCCTGGCTGTTGCCAAGTGCAGGTTGCAAGGCTTTTTAAAGGCACTTAGGGGCTCTGCTGCTAGAAATGTGCTCCGTGCCCCAGGATAAGACTCCTCAGCTGTCCCATCTGCACATCTGAGCACAGCCGCTTCTGAGCATCCCCCATCTACTACATCCCCACCCCATCCCAAGCCTGCAGCAGCCCTCAGCTCTCTCCAGCCCCATTTAAACCATCTGGGACACCGACTGCTCTTTAGGCCCCCTTATTCCACATTTACTGGAGTACCCATTTATCTGTGCCAAACCCCCATTGCCACTGCTTTTTTTCTTGCCACTCCTCTAATGTTCACCCAGGGCTGAGCTGGAGGGAGAGCACAGAGCTCACTGTCACCATGCCCCAGCTCTCTGGGACCAGCAGGTTGGTGCTTAGCCCCAAAGCCCCAGGTCAGGAAGTTCTTTGGGCTGCACCGAGTGCTTTCACACACACAGCCGCATTGGCCACAAAAAAGGAAACCTCAGCTGCTGCCAATATAAACCCAAAGTCACCCCCGATATTCCCCCATTTCCAGTCAGCAAGGACCTAGAATCGTGGGAAGGCAATCTGTGGGGGAAAAACAAGCGAAGTGCCCACCCCATATCCAGGTACAAGGCCAGCTCAGCATGCAGTACAACAGGGAAGCCCATGTATTTCCAGGCTGACGTTTGAATCTCTCCCCACTTCCCAGCACTGACAGTGTCTTCCCAGTTCCTGGCCCTATTCAAGGTGCTCAGGTGGTTTTGGTTCAGCTCCTCTTCTCAATATTGGCTTAATGCTGTTATCACATCCCTCCTTGCCAGCGTGACAAAAACATTTGGGCTGGATCCTTCATGGGAATCCACCCCTTTGCCCAGGTGGACCAAGGGCAGAAAATGTTTTGAAGGCAGAAGCAGCCAAAGCAAGCCACCATCTGGGAAAGCCGAAGTGAACTAAAGGACATGTGGGAGAGCAAAAACTGGACTGATTTTCAAAACGATTTGCAAGAAAACTCAGCGCAGCCCCAGCTAGGAGGTGGAGGCACCCCAGACACAAGGGTGGGACAATACCCATGAACATCCCAAGTGTTGGTGTGAGCACCATCCTGCTCCCCATGCAGGACTTCTGCCAGTGGTAGCTTTTTGTACACCAGGATCCCCCCCCCCCAGGAACTCCATGGAGTTGAAGCCAGGTTGAAGTCATTGGTGTGAAAGCAGTACACTTGAGAATCCAGCTCAAGCTGCATGTAGGGGGGGGTTACGCAAGTAAATAAGTAAGGCAGGACTCGATGAGGCAGCGATCCAGCCCACCAAGCCCCACGTCCCCCCAGGTTTTGGAGTACTACGTGGCTTCCTGGGGCCGCGACACCTTTTTGGGGACTCTGCCAAAATCCTTCATGGGAAACCAAGAGGGGGAAAGGAGGAAGAAATTCCCCCCCGTACCCCATCCCCATCTTCCCACCCCCAGAGCTGGCAGCGGGCCCCCCAGCACCACACACGGGCAGCACCATCTGTCTGCTCCCTGCTCCCGCCGGCTCCGGATCGCCCCGTTTTGCCAGTTCTTTGCACCTTATTTGACTGCTGAAGGGAGAATCAAACAAAGCAGGCGGGCAGATCGCGTATCAAGTTCTTTCTTGCACCGTAAATCTCACAGCCCCAACCCGCTCAGAACAGGGCATTGTGGGTGCTGCGATGGCTTAAACCCCCAAACTGGGCGTTTGTGCAGGGCTGGGGGGGGGGGACGGCTCGGCGTGAGCACGGCACAGATGGGCTCATTGCATGTAAGACAGGAGGGAGCAGAGCAGCGCTTTATTTATTTGCCGCATGTGTGTGCAAGACGGCTGCACCTACAGTTATGCAAAAGAAAGGCATAAAATTTGGGAATGGGGAAAACTTGTGCTCAAATGCAAGATAAACAAACCTGGCAGAGCGGAGCGCAAAGGCTGTTCGCTCTCCCTCCTGCTTTCTCTCCTTCCCCCCTCCACTTTTTTGCAAGCAGAAAAAAAAAAAAAAAAAAAAAGGAGGTAAAGAAACTGGAGAGTTTTGGAAGGAACAAATCCGCCTCTGTGGACTCGGTTTCCCCTCCCCCAACAAAAACAAGCACTCAGGGCTTGAAGGAATTTGCAGGCAGAGATCTGCCAAAAACATTGTGAAAAACTATGGGGGATTCATTGGAAACAGATGGCGTTTTCAGCTGTAATTCTGAAATTCTCTCCTTTTCTGACACAATACAAACAAACCGGGGGTAGGGGCCGGGGGGGCAGCGGCGTTACGGGGCAGCGCCGGTGCGGGGCCGGGCCATTTGGTCGCCGTGCAGCCATTTGCTGAGCCCCCCCTCAACCCAACCTCCCCCCACCTCGACCATCCGCGACCGAAACAACGATGCAAAGGCTGCAGCACCCGCGGAGGGCAGGAAGGTGACGGCGGAGGGGGGGCAGCTGGACCGCACATCCCGCCCCAGGTGAGCACCTCAGGGCTGTGCCATCCCCCACCGCCTTCCCCATTCCCAACCGCATTCCCCCCGTCTTGTTCCCATGCCAGCACAGCAGCGGCGATCGAAGCAGACCCCCCCGGCACTCGCACCCATCAACGCATCAGTGGGCATCAGGCGCGCTCAGGTGCCCCCACCGCTATTTCAGGGCACCCCCAGGGACGGAGAACACCGTGGTCTGACGGCTGCTGTCAGAGCGAACCCCTCCTGCATCGCCCTGTTGTTTTGGGTTGTTTGAATTATTATTATTATTATTATTATTCCTTCTCCCTCCCCCCCCGCCCCCCCCGCCTCCCAAACCCTCCCGATCGTCTCTTTTCCCCGTGAGACGAGGCAGCGGGGAGACAAAGAGGTGAGCGCACGGCAAAACCCCCGCAGCGCTCGGGGGGGGGCGGGGGCAGCAAATCTCAGCCCCCCACTCCACTCCTCCCCGCTCCTCTTAAACATGTGGCCAAGTGCTGCGGAGAGCACGGAGGAGGCCCACGGGCAGGGGAGCGGTGATATGCAGGGGATGGTCTTCAGAACAAGAGGTTGGTCCTTACCTGGAGGGAAGATGCAGAGAAAGACAGGGAGGATTTGGAAAAGTCCCAGGGCTGTGGATCCTGCCCCTCTCCCCATACCCATCCATCCAGCTCGAGCTTTAACCACTATCCTCTCCCTGGAAGAAGAGTTTAAAAAAAGAAAAGAAAAAAAAAAAAAAAGGAAGAAGAAAAAAATAAATAGGGAAGGGAGGAAAAGAGGGAAAAAAAAAAAAGGAAAAAAAAAAAAGGAAAAATAAATCAATCGAAAGAAAGAATAAGAAAAAAATAAAATCTAAAAGCCCCACATGGCTCCGAGGAGCGATGCAGGGACGGGCGGCCCCAGCTCCTCCGGTGCCCTCTGCACTGGAGGATTACACAGTTTTCCTCCTCCTCCTCCTCTCCTCCCGCCCAGCCCCGGCCGTCCGTCACCCGCCGCCCGCCAATGGCCGCCGCCCGCCCCGCGCCTCCTCCACTGCGCGGCGGCGGGGAAGGGGCAGGGCCGGCGGCCATGGGAGGCGGAGGGAGCGGCGGGGGGAGGCGGCAGGCACCGGGGGTGCGGCTTGGGGGAAGCGGTGCAGTGCCCCCCCCCCCCCCCTTCAAATGTCAGCGTTTGGAGCTAAAAGGCGCCGAGGGGAGGGGAGCTGAAGCGGGGGTTGTGGGAGCTCGCCCACCTGCGCGGGAGGTGCGAGCCTTTCGCAACCCGTGATGTGAACCCGGCTCAGTTAGAAGGGCGGCTCTGAGGTCCTCAGCCCTGCACCGGCGGTCCCCGGGGAGGTCTATCTTTGGGAGGGGTCCCTAAACGCAGCCTGCAACGCAGCCTGCAATGCAGTGCATTGTGTAACTTGTGCTTTCTCAAGACCTCCGCTGAATTAGTTCTGGATTTGCAACGTATCCTTCTTTTTTTCTAGGGAAAAATCCCACTGTTTGTGACATACGGTTGCCCCGGTGAGTCCTGGAGCTCCTTCCTGCTCCCCAGCAGCAGCTCCAAGCACAGCAGACGTTGGTTTGCCCGCCGGGCTCCAAAACCCTTCTTCCTCCCACCCCTGGGTGTGCAGCGGGACGAGGCGAGCAGGTCGGACCTGCAGGTCCCAGGGCTGCGCTCCACCCAGGGAAAGGCAGAGCCAGGAGGAAAGCATCCCCTTAACAGCCTTCTCGGATCTGTTTAAAATTTCCCTCAAAGGATATTTTAGCCACAGTGAATTGAAGACAACTCCTGAATGAGAGTGCCCATGGGCGCACTGTGCTCTAACTAATGTGCTTTAACTTCCCCATTTTGGATCGTCAGCCCTCCTTTGATGGACTGCTCTCTCACCCTCTGAATGTTTCCTCTCCTCTCTCCCAGGAGTTTTCTACAAAGAAGGATGCTGGCTGTTCTCCTGCCCTTCTCCCAGCTCTGAGTGCCATCTAACATGGGGCCCTTCCTGCCATGGCCCAGCACAGCCTACAGATGCTCACTGACTTCACTTCCAGTTGTCCTTGGAAATCGCCTTCTGCCTCACAGCACTCCAAAGGATGCTTTTCAGCCTGACGGTAGCTTCAAGTCTCCAAGAAGAGTCAGTGATTTCCTCCCTACAAATATCCCTGCAGAAAGCACGTGGAAGAGGAGACAAGAAGATATCCCTGGAATGGAGGGATCTAACAGCGCCTGCCTGGTTCTCCTCGGGGGCCTGAGCCCCTTGGCCTCCAGATGAAGGAGGGCTTTGTCCAGGCTGCAGCCAGAATTAAAATGCTGGAGCTTTTCCAGATGGGACCCAGATGGGATCCAAAGATCCTGGGGCTTTGCCTGCTTGATGGGAGATGTGTCTGGGTCCCGCAGCTGCACACAGATCATAGAATCGCAGAATGGTTGTTGGATTGGAAAGGACCCCAAAGATCATTCAGTTACAACTGCTGGGTGATGCCTGCTGAGGGCAGAGGGAGCTCCACCAGGAGGGAGCTGCTAGGCTGCATCCAGACCCGGGGCAGTGGGGGAGGAAGGCTTACAGCAGGCTCCTCTCTGTGGGGGATGTCAGATGGGGGCAAGTAGGGCCCTTCCAGCTGCTGCTGCCACCCAGGGAGAGGTGCTGATGGCAGTGGGAGGCTATGAGCTGGGGGAGCCTCGGCCTGGAGAGACGGGGCCAGGCGCACAGGCTGCAAATACCCTCCCCTTCCTCTCACCTCCTCCACTTCTCAGCCCTAGTTCCTTTCAGCCCACCCTTTGCTTTTCCTCCGGTATGAAAAATGTCCCTCCTGCTATCACTGATGACAGACAGTGTGATCTATTTGTTTTTAACTTGCAAAACAGCCAAATGACCACCATTCAAAATCCAGCTGCTAAATAGCTGCTGCAAGGCTGGTCGGATTGTCTGACCTAAAGCCTCCTCGCTTTGGTGTTGCTGTTTTGTGGCAAGCTGACACATGGAAATGATACACTAAAAATCCCGTTTGAGGCGATATTTTAAAAATGAGATCCTCGTTGGAGCTTCTGCCTTTGGTACAGGAAAAGCTGTAAAGCAATGAGCTGTTGCCCCTGGCTCTGGTTTGTGAAAAAATTTCTCCTTGACTTTGCACAGTTGCATCACGCATTGCAAATGGGATTGCTGTTTTTGGCACTGATCAAAGCAGCGGATTTCACTGGAGAAAACAACAGATGTGTCCAAACTGAAATGGCAGAGCATAAAAAAGCCCCAAATAAGGTGTGTCTCAGCTCCTGCTCCCTGCTCTGTGCTTTTCAGGTCACCTTCACCTTTCTGATTAGCTGAATCAAAGACCTGGACTTAAAATCAACCACTAAGACCGAAGCAGCATGAAGCTGGGATTTCTGCCTTGCCCAATGGGGCTCTGCAATATGTGTTGGAGAGCTCTGACTGCAGTTTCCCTTGCTCCTTTCCTTCGTGAAGCCAGGATGAGGCTCCCTGTTCAGGCAGCCCAGCACTTTTTGCAAACAATATGTGGGAAACCACCCACCGCTATGTGCAAACACCTCCGAGGCACAGTGGAGCTCCCAGGTGACAGGCAGGGAGAAATCCCAGCCTCTGCCAGCCGATAGAATCCTGCTGATGCTCAGCCGGCCCTGCTGGTCTGAATTTATTTTTCAGAGTGTTTCCCAGTGCGCTCTGCCCTATGCCACACTATGCATATCTGTGGGCTTCAATGGGGCTGAAGGAATGCGCCTAATTTGAACCCTAAGGTTTAAAGGTGATTCCTTTCCTTACAGCCTTCCTAATGGAATTACTCAACACCTGTAATTATATCACTAAAATAGTAAATATGAGTATTTCTGAGGGCTGTAACTGGTAGTTAGAGGAGTCCTGGTCTGCTCCTGACTCTCCTGTGAACTTCCTTTCATGCAGTGATCCCTGCACAACTGCAACATGCCTTTGCCTTCTCTGCCTCAGGACAAGGCATCCTGTTCGTGTCCTGGCTGGGGTGAGTTGTGATCAGGAAGTTCATCTTGCACCGTTCAGCAATGAGACGTGCTTGGGTTAAGCAGAAAAAAGCTAATCATTCCCTAAAGGAGGAAGGGAAGTTTGTAGTGGAAACCCCCAAATTATTATCTGGGGAGGTTTGCGAACCGATTCCAAAATGCTTATGGAAGTAAAAGCAAACACCTGTGCTCTGAAAGATTCCCTTATTAGAGAAAAAAGCTCTGAACGAGAAGAGAAATAATGAGAAAAAAAAAAGCCAACATTTTTCACATCTTTCTGCAGTAAGTCACACCTCTTGTGTTTGCGGTATACTGGGAAATTCATTTCCTTTCCTCTGCTGTTTTTTTTTTTCTCAATTATTATTATACTTTTGCAGTTTCCCCAGCTGACAGCACAAGCAAACTCTGCTCTCCCTGAACTGTGTGCCTCGAGGCTGCCCAGCAAGTGCCTGAAACCTCTTCCCTCCAACCTGTCACCTCACACTGTTGGTAGCAAAGTGTCCCTCCAAGGTCTCAGCCACGCACCGAGTGTCTGTTGTGAGCGAATGGGGCAGGCGTGCTGGAATTGAAGGCTGCTGCGTGGCAAAGTGCAGGAAAGTGTTGGCTGCCTGGGATCATCCACCTGCCTCTGTGAACGTTAGACTCACCGACCTGGCTATGCAAAGAGAGGCCAGTGGGGCGAAGGTGGAATATGCATAGCTTCGTAGCACCAGTAAGTAAAGTAGGAATGGTGCGTTGTCGACCTGCAACTTTGCATCTGCCGAGAGTGGCTAATTAACAGCAGCCCTAATTGAAGTTGCTGTGGATTACCATGCTTCAGGCTCTCTGTTCCGAGAGCCTGCTCCAGACTTGCAGCCACAAGTCACCTTGGAGTGCTCCAAACCAGCACAAGGCAAACAGAAGGTAGAAAACTTTGTCTTGCTCATCACAGAAAGTGAAAGGTGGGGATAGTTGCAATCAAATTCAGTTCGTCACGTCCCTGCCTATAACAGAGGGATTGCAACTAGATGATCTTAAAGGTCTCTTCCAACCCAAACCATTCTATGACTCTGTGATTCTATGATTTTTTGTCTCGTACTTTTTGACTGGTGGTATTCCTTTCTCTCTCTTCCCCTTGATTGCAAAGCCTTGTGGGGTAAGAGTGCTGCATGGGCAGACTGTAGCTCTCCCTTGTTCTGTAGGGTTTGGAGGGCTGCCTGGCATTCGCTCTCTGTGTATTTCGTTCTCTGCAGGGTGCTGTGCTTTCTAGTCTCCTCTTTGGGGTAAGAATCACTACCTCTGTAGTGTATCTTCCGCACATCTGGGCTTCTCTAAAAAAAAGAGGTGGGCTGGGAGGTGCCCAGGACGAAGTTCAAATGGCCACACGTCAGCTCAGCAGAAAAGATGGGTAAACCTGAACTGCCAAAAAATAAACAGCACAGAAGAATTCGCACCCAGAGCTGGGTGTTTATCAGCAGAGACAGAAACCAGGCTGTGCAACAGGACAAGGGGGCAACCTTGGCTTTCCCTGCCGCCTTTAATAACTACTGCTGTCTTGAGAAAGTGCAAACAGAGCTCCTTAATCCCACCCCAACCTGGCAGGTCAGCTGAGGACATCTCCTGGGTCTCCACATTTAAAGGTGGGCCATGACACTGTGTGTGTTTGTGAATGTGCATCTTCAGTTGGTTGAGAAAGGTGTCATTGAGAGGTCTTATGGAAAATGCTCTGTGAAACCCGGCTTGTGTCTCCTTGTTTCAATTCCTGACAGCGATGGACAGAGATGCAGCAATCCCATAGCACACATTTTGTGCAATTATTGAGGTTCCGAGATGCTGATTCAAAACTTTTTCCTGAATATCTGCAGAAGATGCTTTCCTTTTCATGGAAGGGGGGGGGGAGGGAAGGGAAGGAAGCAAAAACTGTAAATCCAGCACTTTTCTATGTATTTCAGGAGGTGAAACTGGGCCGGTGGCAGCTTTCATGGGGGGAGCAGCTGGGGGTGGCCGTGGCCCCACTGGGTGGTGCTGTTAGCCCTGCACCGCCTGCACAAGGATCCAGTTTATAAAATAAATGCAATCCAACGCCGCCTTAAACCACATGACATAACAGCAGCTTGCGAGCTCCCATTAAAATCTCAATTTGGGGAAATTGATTCTACCTCTGAGCAATTGCGATGCAATTACTCCAACAGGCAGCAATCAAGAATCACATCAAAACAACACCAAACTTTCATCTCCTGCCTCACAACCACCACCACAACAAAAAGCACCTGTCTTGCAAACACAGCCCAGCTTCCTTCAACGTATATAATATTTAAGAAGAGCAACGTGCAGGTCCCAGGCTGGAAGCAAGCCTGGACAGGGGCTGTAGGGCTGGTGCCTCTGTACTGTCCTGACTCAGGGCGAGCTTCTGCCGCTTTACACTTCTCCCACCTCTGCATCCGGCTGAGACTGGGGGCTGTTTGCAGAGCCAGTTCCCCAGCAGCGAGGCCAGCCACTCCAGCTGTGTGTACTCTCCCTGCACACAGCAGCAGCCGCCCCTGCCCACCTCCCACATCTGGCCAGCTGTTAGGCATCGCCCACCCTGCCCACGTCCCACATCTGGCCAGCTGTCACCCTCCCGACTCGCAATCCCCACCCAGCGCTTTGAGACCCCAGCAGCGCATCCGCAGACCAGCTCGGTCACTGCGACTGGCCCCGCTCTGAGCAGACCACCGATGAGAAAAGGGAATCTTTTCCGTTCTCATCGGCGGTCTGCAAAGAATTATTCGGCTGGCTTAGCCCAGGAAGGTGCAGCTTTAGCGGCGACCATCAGGAGGAGGATAAATTAATAACCGCATGCTAGCAGCAAGCCGGCCGGAGGGGAAGGGGAAGAGCCGGGGTTCCGTATGGAAGAGGCCGGGGAGGGAGCAGGCAGTCGGGGCCATGCGGGGGGCCGGGGGCAGCATGCGGCCGGGGGGGCCCCGCGCAGCTCCCGCTTACCTTAGCGGCCGCATCAGCCTCTCCAGCCCTCCGCGGGGGGGTGGGTGCAGGGAGTTTTTGGTTGTTGTTGGTTTTTTGGGGTTTTTTTTCCCGTTTTTTTTTTTTTCTCAGTAAGAAAATAATAAGAAAGAAATAAAAAAAAAAAAATAAAAAAGAAAGAAAGAAAGAAAGAAGTAGCGATGGCGGGGAGGGGGGGGGGGGGGGGGAAGGAAGGCGGCCCCCCCTGCCCTGCGCAGGGCAGCCCCGGCGGGGAGCAGCGCGGCCTCGCTCAGCGGGACGCGGGGAGCCGCATCGCCCTCCCGGAGCATGTGAGAGGCAGAGGAGGAGATGGAGCCAGATAGGGAGGTCTCCTCCCTCCTTCCCTCCTCCCTCCTTCGCTCCGCGCACGCTGAGCAGGGCCGTTAGCATGCGGCGGAGAGGGGGGGTGGGGGAGCAGGAGCAACCCCTGCTATGGGAGCTGGGGGGTCCGCGCTGCAGCCCTCCTTGGGCAGCACGACGAGGCTGCAGGGTCACCCCGACACGAGAGGGGTGGGGATGCTCCACCTGCAGCAAGAGCTGTGGAGGGGATGGGGGCTTGAGGCGCATCATTGTGTTGGTGGGGTATTGTGGGGAGAGCCGGTTTCGGGGGAGGGAAAGGAATGCTCTGCATGGATCTTTCAGGCAATAGCGGAAAGATGCAGACCCTGGGCGGCACCCCTGTGTAACCCCTATCTCAGTCTCTCCCTTCAGCCCCCTCACCCACTGGGGTGAGCCCAGGGTGGGCACCGAGCTCCCATGGAGACTTGGGGACGCTGTGGCACACGTGGGCACCAGGTGCCCGCATTTCTGATGGGAAAGCTGTGGGTGCAAGGCTGTGCCAGCCGGAGTGTCACACACACAATTAATTACTGCAGCCCCAGAGCCACAAATGTGCTAAATATGCTGTCGGTGTAGCGCGTGGATAATAGCAACCCTTTGCAAAGCGTTTCTTTCTCTCCTTTCTCTCTCTCTCTCTTTTTTTTTACCCAGCTCAAGAGACAACAATTGCAGAGAGCACACAGCAGCTCCGCCGCTTGATTAAGTCAGCAGTGAAGACAAAATGTGCCTACACAGCTTAAGGAGGATCTGAATGTGTGCTAGGTACAAATTAGAAAATGGATGTGATTTAATCACAACAAATCTAAACAACCCTGCCACAGAAACCCTGCCATCCAGGAGGTCTTTTTCTTAAATGTGGATATGATGGGTGTACAGTCCTGACAAAGGAACAATGTATTTGAGGATGAATTGTTAAAGCAAGAACAGAGAAAAGGCTGGGAGAAAGGCCG